AGTCACACCGAATGACACTGAAGAAGCCCAGACCCCTCATCCTGCATCTGATCTCAAGACCCACCAGCCTGAGGTAGGGGCCAAGGGTCAAGAGCATGCAGACACAGGTGACAGATCAGGAAGTTCAGAGGACGCGGCTGTAGGAAGACATCCGATGGATAAAGCAGAGCACAAGAGCACCCCACATTCTCAGGACCCAGAGCGGGAGCGTCACCCCGCCTCGGAGCATCTGGGTGCAGAGGCCCTGCATCTGGATCCTGCCTGCTCCCAGAGCAACAAGGGAGGAGGAGCAGATGCACACCTGGGGAGCAGGTCTGAAGCCCCCCCAGAGGGAGCAGGGGACAGATGTGACGCTGCTCGGGAGCCACTTGCTGCAGACGCCACCACCGATGTCCAGAGTCCTGATCACTGCAGTGCAGGCCCAGGGAGCCAGGATGTACTGAGGAGGCGCCTGCCTGTGCCAGGTGAGAGAACCCTCTGAACTGCTGTCTCCTGCCTGCGCTTCCCTGGGAAGTGGTGGAAGTCGTTGGGGCCATAGGATGCTGGAGTGGGGTGGGGTTCCAGCTCCTAGACTAGCTCAGTCACTGTGTTTACCTGCTGCCTGTGTGTGTGTGTGTGTGTTATAGAATAGGCAAGTGTGAATTAGCTAATTAGCTTTTTCAGAAGAGAAAGAGGACATCAGTTTTGGCGTTTTTTTCACAATTATTTATTTATTTATTTTGTGTGTGTGTAGTGAATCTTTCTCTGTCCCACCGGCCAGCTCCCAAATCATGACATGGAGACTTACTATTAATTAAGAAAGCCCAGCCAATAGCTTAGGCTTGTTTTTAGGTATCTCTTATAACTTAAATTAACCCATTTCTGCTAATCTGTGTGCTTCCCCAAGGCTTGTTTACCTCATCTGCATACTGTCCATCCTGTTTTCCTGCTTCCTCCATGTCTCCTCAAGTCTCCACCTTTCTTCTTCCCAGCGTCCTCTGTGCCTGGAAATCCTGCTTAGCTATTGGCCATTCAGCTCTTTGTTAAACCAGCCAGAGTGGCACATCTTCACAGTGTACAATAAGATCATCCCACAACATGTGTGAACGCAGGTGAAGGTCAGGACAGTCTGCAGGAATTGGTTCCCTCCTTCCACCACGCAGGTCTCAGGGATCAAACCTGAGTTGTCCTCAGCCTGGCAGCAGGTGCCTCTATCTGCTGAGCCCTCTTGCCGGCCCGGCCCAGGAAGTTTTTAAATGTATAAAAGCAGAACAGTATAATGAGCCCCCAAGGACTTAACATCCAACTTCAGCTGTTAGCAACACAATCCCGATCTTGGTGCCTGCCCTGCCTGGCAGGGGATGTAGCTAAGTGGTAGACACTTACCTAGCATGCAAAGGCCTGGAGTCAACCTACCACTACAGAGGAAACAAAATGAATTTCATGAGACAGCTGGGAAAATGTGCATGACATGTACTTGGTGATGTTAAGAAATTATTCATTTCTAAATATAGTAAAAAAGTGTTACAACTTTTTTTGTAAGAATCCTTATCTTTTTAGAGGTGTATATCCTTGTATTTTATCTGAAATCATGGGATGTCTAGAACTTGCTTTAGCAAAATGATAGGAGCGAGCCAGGCGGTGATGGCACATGCCTTTAATCCCAGCACTCGGGAGGCAGAGGCAGGCAGACTCTCTGTGAGTTCGAGGCCAGCCTGAGCTACAGAGTGAGTTCCAGGATAGCCAAAGATAGATGGAGAAACCCTATTTTGAAAAACCACCACCAACAACAACGAAAAAAGATAAGAGGGAAGGGAAAAGTGAGGGGGAAATGCAGATGGAAAAAGTACACGCTGTTGTTGAGACAGGGTCTCTGTGACACAGGCTGGCCTGTAGCTCATGACCCACTTGCTTCAGCCTCCCGAGGGCTGGGATTGCAGTAGGTGTGTCCTACCACCCTACCTTAAGAGGATAAACTTAGTAGAGCTTTATTATTTTATTATTATTATTATTATTATTATTATTATTATTACTTTAGTATTCACAATTGCTTTATATCAGTATTAGCTATTAGCTTTATTAGCATGGACAGCTTGTTTTACCCTTGGTAGGATCCTAGAGAATTAATGTTTAAGAAAAGAGCCTTATAAATCATGAAAGAAAAATAGTGTGTGTGTGTGTGTGTGTGTGTGTGTGTGTGTGTGTGTGTGTGTGTGTGTAATTGCAGACCTTGTTAGAGTATAAAACTATGGATGAAGTGGGTAAAAGGAAACATTTTTATCTCACCAGACTCTCAAAAGGATTTGGAAAATGATCCCTCAGTCAGCTCTCAAGCCCAGGGCACCATAGTCACACCGAATGACACTGAAGAAGCCCAGGCCCCACATCCTGCATCTGATCTCAAGACCCACCAGCCTGAGGTAGGGGCCAAAGGTCAAGAGCATGCAGACACAGGTGACAGATCAGGAAGTTCAGAGGACGCGGCTGTAGGAAGACATCCGATGGATAAAGCAGAGCACAAGAGCACCCCACATTCTCAGGACCCAGAGCGGGGACGTCACCCCACCTCGGAGCATCTGGGTGCAGAGGCCCTGGATCTGGATCCTGCCTGCTCCCAGAGCAGCAAGGGAGGAGGAGCAGATGCACACCTGGGGAGCAGGTCTGCGGCCCCCCCAGAGGGAGCAGGGGACAGATGTGACGCTGCTCGGGAGCCACTTGCTGCAGACGCCACCACCGATGTCCAGAGTCCTGGTCACTGCAGTGCAGGCCCAGGGAGCCAGGATGTACTGAGGAGGCGCCTGCCTGTGCCAGGTGAGGGAACCCTCTGAACTGCTGTCCCCTGCCTGCGCTTCCCTGGGAAGTGGTGGAAGTCGTTGGAGCAATAGGATGCTGGAGGGGGGTGGGGTTCCAGCTCCTAGACTAGCTCAGTCACTGTGTTTACCTGCTGCCTGTGTGTGTGTGTGTGTGTGTGTGTGTGTGTCTATTTGTGTGTGTGTGTGTGTGTGTCTATTTGTGTGTGTGTGTGTGTGTCTATTTGTGTGTGTCTATTTGTCACGATGTGCTTATGGAGGTCACAGGACAGCTTGCATGGATCCTTTCAGCTCTCCCACCACGTGGGTTCTGGAAACTGGACTCAGGTCACCAGGCTTGTCACTGTCACCCACCGAGCCATCCTGACGGCCCGTAAATTGCTTTTTTTTTTTTTTAAATGGGTATAGATGCTTTGTCTGCAAGTATGTCTGTGTAACATGTGCATGCCAGATATTCAAGGTAGTTTAGAAGAGGGTGTCAGTTCCCCTGAAACTGGAATTACACACAGTTGTGAGCCACTATGTAGGTATTGGGAATTGAACCCGGGTCCTCTGGCAGAGCAGTGGGTGCTCTTAACCAGTGAGCCATTTCTCCAGCCCCACGAACGATATTTTTAAATATTGTTTTTATTTACTGCTTATATTCACGCAATATGACAAAAAAGGAACACAACCTAAGAAAAAAATCTTAGGTTTGTTTCTTATGAGGATATTTAACTTCAAACTTTCGATTTTCTTGTCCTTTGGGAAAAAATATTGTGAAAATCAGTAAGTGAATCTGTGTAAATCAACACAAGTACGCACACATGGATGCATGGTTGGTTTTCTTGTTGCTCTTGTTTTGAGATAGCATGTCACTCTGTAGCCCGAGGTGGCCTCAGACTCACGGTGATCCTCCTGCCTTAGCCTTCTGAGATCCAGGATCGCAGACATGCACCGCCATGCCCAGTACTTCTAGAAGTACTCTAAAGAGCTCAGTCTGAAATGTCCATGTTCTAGTACCAAGGCGTTCATCGAGGGCTTGACTGTCCCTGACACCTAGTATGTGTCATGCGTGTTCATCAGAATACCTGGGCAGAAACGCTTACCCCGCTTCTTTCATTGTGTTTCTCTGGCATCCAGCACATAAGTACAACTTTATGAATAGTTTTTGAGTTGGAAAAATTAATGAATGAACAAACAAATGACGAATGCAATTAGATGGACCATTATCTACAGTTAAAATTTCTCCATTGTGGAGGTTCTCCATGGGTAGAAAAATAAAACTGTGGTTTGAATGTAGTGTGTGTGAGGGAAAGAACCTAATACAGTGAAATGAACTAATGGGCAGTTTCGGTTGGCATAGAAGGAAAATCGGCAAAGTATAGGAATCCCGTCATGCAATTGGGTGAGAGGTAAAAGGTGATACCTACTCTGACAATGTACCGTCTCCAATGTTCCTCCTAACCCTAGAGGCCGGAAATCCTGAAGAAGAGATGCAGTTGGTGAAGGAAAAGGAAGAGATTGCACAGGATACCCTGAGAAAGATTGACAAAAAGAATCTCTGGAGCTATGGTGAGAACAAGCTTCATTTGGCTACAGTTGGTTTACATTCACAGATCCCTCAGAGAAAATGCCTAAAAAACTATTTCAGTTAAGCAGTTTTAACTTTAATTATTAATACATTCAATAAAATAGAGCAATAAAGCTTTAAAGTTTTTTCCTCCAGGAAATAGCTGTTTGATATTTTGTTTAACAAATAGAAATCCTCACCGTCAGAAAATGCCCCCCACCCCTACTCCCACCCTTACTCCCGACCCCCATGGGGGACTGAATTAGGGCCTTGAGCCTGCTTGGCAAACACCCTACCACTGAGCTACCTTGCTTGAGGTGGAAAACCCTGTATAGAGTACAGGAAACTGCAACTACCTTTGTTTTGTTTTGTTGAGACAGGGCTTTGCCATGTAGTCCGGACTGAGATTCTCTGTGCAGCCCAGGCTAGCCCTCAGACACATGGCAGGATTCCTGCCTCGGCCTCCAGAGGCTGCCGCTTCCGTCGGAGGCTGCTCCTGTCTCAGACTGCACACTCAGGCCGTTGGCTTTCCCTTTCGAGGCCGAGTCTGCATGGGTAGCGCAGGCCTCCCAGGCCTCCCACGTGCTGAGATGTGGAGGCTGTGCCACCCTGTCGGGGTCATTTTTAAGTTTTGATTGCAGAATGGTCTGCTCTGGCCAGTGTGTACTTTTAGAAAGTGGAAGAAAGTTCTCGTGATTCTTTGAAAAGCATCATTGATTATAACAAAGTATGTGAACAACTTGGACATAGATTGTCTATCTTCAAATAGCTCCAAGAGGTTAAAGAAGATATTTCTGTCAGACTTTTTGTTTTACTTCTGTGTAGACCATACTGGCCTCAAATTCATGACGATCCCCCTGCCTCAGCTTCTGTTCGACATTGTGAAAGTACAGGAGAGTCAGGCCAAGGGAACTTCCGGTCGGTCGTCAGAAGACCGACGGAAACCTGTTAGGTCGCTGCTTCCCACAAGCTTTGCTCCCGACTCACAGTCTTGTTCTCTGTTATCTCTCATCTGGCAGGGCCTGTGTTTCTCGTCTGCCTCTTTGTGGCTTTTGTGCTAAGTTCCGTCAACAGCTACTATTCCTCCCCAGCCCAGCAAGTGCCCCAGAACCCGGCTCTGGAGGCTTTCCTGGCTCAGTTTAGCCAACTGCAGGATAAGTTTCCAGGCCAGAGTTCCTTCCTGTGGCAGCGAGGACGTAAGTTTCTCCAGAAGCACCTCAATGTCTCCAGCCCCTCTGAGCCTGCCACCCTCATCTTCACGGCTGCCCGAGAGGGGAAGGAGACCCTCAGGTGCCTGAGCCACCACGTGGCCAATGCCTACACCTCTTCCCAGAGAGTGTCTGCCGTCTCCATAGACGGGGCCAAAAGAGCCCAGCAGGACAGCGACACAGTCAAGCTGTGGGTTGACGTGGAGCTCAGCAGCGGGTTTGAGAACGGCCACAAGGCTGCCGTGGTCCACCGCTTCGAGTCCCTGCCTGCAGGCTCCACCCTGATCTTCTACAAGTACTGCGACCACGAGAACGCCGCCTTCAAAGACGTGGCCCTGGTCCTGACCGTCCTGCTGGAGGAGGAAACACTAGAAGCAAGCGTAGGCCCCAGGGAGACCGAAGAGAAAGTGAGGGATTTACTCTGGGCTAAGTTCACCAACTCTGAGGCTCCCAGCTCCTTCAGCCACATGGACGCAGACAAGCTGAGTGGGCTCTGGAGCCGCATCTCCCACCTGGTGCTGCCCGTGCAGCCCGTGAGGAGCATCGAAGAGCAGGGCTGCCTTCTGTGAGGCCAGGTTGAAGGGGCAGGTCTGGGGGCTCCCTTCCCCTGGGAGGAGACATGACCTTATTTTTAAAAAAGCTTTCTTCTTCTTTTTTTTTTCCTTTTGTAAAAACTTAATCTAAACTTTGATAAAGCTAACAATTGGCCTGATGGTTTTCTTTGCCTTTTTAAGCAAATCAGGCTTAGAGTACAGCAAGATACATAACACTGAGGGATTGTTTAAATGTCCAATCCAGGCGTAGAATCTTTGCACAGGAAAATCTGATTTTCAGAGGGACTTCAGCAGGGCTGCTGCCTTGGGAGGACTCCACAGAGCCTCTTGGACAGTGTTCCGGACTCAGACTAGTAATCCCAGTGATTTCAGGGAACGCTCCTACCACATAGGAAGTATTTTTAAGACTCACTTTAATAAGGCAGTTGTTGGGTTGTGTCTTACACAGATTTGCACTTTGAGTAGATGAAAACAGGAAACTAGAATTCAACCCTCCAAATCCGACCTAAGAACTTGGTTCGTGTATGCTTTTATTCCACTAATGAGCTGAGGTAAAAACAGCTTTGTTAAAAAACAAATGTTCCGGAGTATTAGAATCACTGTAGGAATTGTTAGTAACCACTGGGAATGAAGAAATCCCAACTGGCTGTATCGTTTCTCTGTGCCTGCCAGCAGCCCCCTCCTGCATATGAGAACATCTCTACTCAACATTTTCTGTTAAGATTGCAGTGGAGCACCGCTTCACTGAGAAGGAAGTTTGAACCCCATTGATGCAGCAAAAGCACATTCTAGAAGCTGTGACCTCGGATGGGAAGAGATGGAAGCGTTAAAGCTTAGGAGTAGGAAGATGGAGTAAGGTTTGCTGTGCAGGGCGGTAGAGACCTGCAGATGAGACACGGTAGGGTGTCGAGGCGTGGCCTCTGGCTTTGTCCTTTTCTCCTCTTCTGCCTCTGCTGCTGGAATTTCACAGCTGTCTATGTGAGAGTTTGAGTGCCGTTTCCGAAGAGATGTCGGTCTCAGCAGCTGGCATGACTTTACCACATGGGCTTTGCTATGCCATGATGGGACATTTCATTCGTCTCTTGACAGCTAGTTAGAAATGCCATTAGGGAAGGAATTGGAGAAATGAAAGAGGATGTCCTACATAGGGAAGAGAAAGAGAAACCATGGCCAATATCAGTTGTTAAGCCATGCCCCATGATGGTTAGGCTGGGCCCAGTAGCTGTTGATAGGCATATGAACTCTAAAGCGCTAGTAAAATGATCTGGTCTGTTCCATTACGCGGATGGGAATAGCCCTGGAATTTTGCACTAAGTTTTGGCTCGTCTGCTGCTATGAGATCATGTATATAATTAAGAAGTTAAGTTATTTGAATCTGGAGGGATTTTAGGAAACACTAAGAAGATCTCTATTGATAATTAAAAGGATCATAAAGACATGGGGTGGGGAGTGATCTGAAACCATTTACCACAGAAAGAACACAGACTGGCTTTGGCCAGAGCCTTTGGTGTACTCAGTTCAGTGTAGAGACACACATGAAGACACAGTACATATTTGGCATTTTGAAGGAATCGTCAATAGATTTGAGAAAAGACCCTAAACACAAAGTTTAAGCATAGTGAATGGAATTTGAGTTTCAACCCAGTGTAAAACAGAGGGACTGAAGAAAAATCTGTATGCCATATTTGATTTTTTTTTCTGTATTCTAGACTTCTGCTTGTTTGTTTTGAATGCTAGTCTAGACTTGTCCTAGGGCCCTGGCTGGCCAGGTCCTCATTCCGGTCCAAGGCTGACTTTGAACGTACGGTAATGTCTCCTGCCTCAGTTTCCTGAGTGCTGGGGTTATAGGTGTATACCATCACACTCAGCTTTAATTTCAGCCCTTAGCTGTTAGCATGTTAACATTAACAGGTTAACATTTCACATAGAACCAAAGGTGCCTTGCAGAACTGATATGCTGGTCTTCAGCCTGTGCTACCTCAGACTGCAGGGGAACAGGTCTAAAGTATGTGTACACAGTCTATGTCGGGTGGCTCTGATCACGGGTGAAAAATTTTCTTCATTCAATTGAATATAGTTTTATATAATTTGCTGTCAACATAAATTTAGGATATAATACATTTCTAAAATTTAGTTATTTGTCAATTTTTTTACTGCTGACTGTTAAAATACACTTTTCCTTCTATACATAAGTACAATCAACTGAGACTAGTCAGTTTTCTATCCACTATTTCAAAAACCCTTTTTTTATATTTAATTTTTTGTTTTTTCAATAGTGGGGATTGAACCCAGGGCCTTAACATTTGAGGAAAGTGTCCTACCACTAAGCTACATCCCCAGACCTTACACATCATTTTGAAAAGAAGCATACATTAGTTTGATGTCAGAATGAGTGATTCTGTTTTTGATGCAGTCTTTACATAGCCCAAACTAGTGATTCTCAGGCCCTAGACTTCTGTGTGGTGGGATTATAGGAGTGTGCCACCACACCAACTTAATGTAATTACTTTTTAAACAAAAATATATTTTAAAATGTACACATAATTAAAATCTGTTATCTGATGTATTGTCTTCTAGTCCATTGTTTTTTACTTTTTTCAGTTTTTCATCCTTGTGTGTGTGTGTGTATAGTCATTATTTGTGATTAATTTGCTTGACTTAGAAAAATTATTCACAGTGACATGACAGCACACACCATGTTTGAACATAACAGTTTAATTAGTGCCATAGAACAAAAATACATATATTTGTTTGTTTGTTTTTTTAATGGGAATCTCTTCTTGAGTAATACCAAGTCCCAGAAGCAAGCAGGGGAATTGGAAATTGTTTTTGGACTTGGGTTTTTCCCTTTCAGGTAAAATTCAGATTTTTAAGTTAGCTTTCAGAGATTAGCAAAGAAGTTCTAGAGAGTTCTTACCATAGAAATAATTTTAGAAATTTTAGAAATTTAGAAATAAATTTAGTAAATTTCACCTGGAAGCCCTCAGGTAGTGAGGCTTGGCCCGTGGCCCACCCTGACCGTTGGCTGACAACAGAGCATTGTCTCACGGCCTTGGGTTTATACTTCTCCTTGTTAAAGACAGGAGCGTTGTGAGCACTGATGTTAGGATGTGACTGACAGATGTGGCCTGTGAAGGTGGAGATAATGCAGCAAGATGATTTTCACCAACACACTTACTTTCTCTAGCTCACCAAGATTTCTTAACCACCGACTTTGCCTTTATGCATTTACAAATGAAATGGCTTTGACGGTACTGATGTCAGACTTGCTCATGTCACCACGGATGCTTTTTGCATTTGTTTCCATATTGATGATGTCAAATGTGCCTTATTCAAATCAACTGCTGGTTAATATACAAATAAATCTCCTTAATTTTTCCTAGTTGACTTATTTTTGACTAAAATCTCCAAAATAAAGAGTTACAGAAATGGGCGTGTGGTCATTAATGGTGGGAAGGGTCAAAAGTACCCTGGCAACACCAGGCGGTGTTGGTGGCTGTCAGTGACAAGGTACAGTGCAGGCGGTGTGTCCAGAACACTTGGCGGTGTTTATGTGGCAGTTCATTCCCACTGGACCGGCTCTCTCTTGACTGGGGGAGAGTGAAATAGTGAACACAGCCTTGGGAGCTGTTCCAAACGTGGGCTGTGCCGACTGGGGATGTAAAAGTGTGTGTGTGTGTGTGTGTGTGTGTGTGTGTGTGTGTGTGTGTGTGTGTGAAACATCTTGTATGTTGGAAGTAGGGAGGTAGTTTGTGTCAAACGTAGAGGCCAGGGAGGGCGGTGCATGTAGTAAAGGGTTTGCTGCACAGACGTGAGGATCAGAGTTCGGATCCCAGCACACACAGGACAAGTTGGGCTTCCTGCAGATGACTGACCTTCTACACCCAGGGGTGTGACACCTAGCATCTGCCCTCTGCTTGGACACAGGCACACACTAACATACGTCTAAAACAAGAAACTGCATGGCAGCACATATCTGTAGATCCAGCTCTTGGGAAGGTAGAAACTCCTGGGGCTCACTGACCAACCAGCCCAGCTGAATCTGTAATTCTAGACTGAATGAAAGACCCTCTCAAAAAAGGTGGAGTGCAACTGAGGAAGACATTCAATATTGACAAGCACACGCACGCACGCACCCACCTCAGGGCTGGAGTGATAGGTCAGTTGCTAAATTGCTTGCCTTGGAAGCACAGTGACCTGAGTTCAATCTCTACAGCACTTGTTTTTTAAAAAAGAAAAGAAATGGCTGGGTTTTTCCATTAAGCCAGTCTCTCAGGTATATACACCATGTACAGGCTAATAGAACTCTCTGACCTGGCTGGGTTTCTTCTCCCCCTCCCCCATCCCCATCCCCGTGCACTGGGGACGCAAGAGACACACGGATCCCTAGCGCTCGAGGGCCAGCCAGCCTAGTCTACTTGTCACACTCCAGGCCTCTCTCAAATGACAAGATGGACTGTGCCTGAGAATGCACATGCACCCACCAGAAAAAGAATTCACTCTGAGAATGTTGCCAAACCGGAATTACTGTGTAGAAGCCCTAGGTTCCAGGCTTCTGGCCCCTCACTGCTCTTCCTCTGGTGTTGGGCCCTGCTCTCGACCCTCAGCTCAGACCAAAGGTTGTTTCTTGACTAATTTCCTGTTTGACTCTTGTAGTTTAGAAAAATATATTTTCAGGAGTTAGCATATCTTAAGAACTTTCGGCTAACCAGAGTGCACATGAGCCTGCTCACAGAGAATGGGACTTCTTAAACATGCTCCAAATAGCGACCGTGAATGAGCCGCATGGTGGTGGTTTTATTTTTAAGTGTTTATGGTAAAAGCCAAGAAAAAGTTACATATCTACCCCCAAACACAAACTGGGTAGTAGTCGAGTTCCTAGGCAATATATCAAAGTTGAGGATTAAAACTTTACAACAAAGCAGAACTGAGCCCTCCTATTCTGATAGCCTGTGAACTGTCAGGGGCTCCAGAGATGGCTCCGTGGTTAAGACTGCTCTCTGCTCTTATAGAGGATGTGAGCTCAGTTCCTAGCCAATGTCTCACAACCATCTAACTCCAGCTCCAGGGGACCTGATAAACCTCACGCACACACATACACATATACACACACCAATAAACAATTAACTGCCAATATACTAATGATTATCTCCTGAGATGCCATTTCAAGTTCTCATTTGGGTTGATAATAAATCTGCAAACAATAAGAATAGGTAAGCTAGGGGCTGGAGAGACGGCTGGGAGCTGAGGAGCACTTGCTGATCTTCGTACCTAGGTTTGGTACCCAACACCCACACGGTTAGACTTCCACATAAGGAGGGGGTCTGGGGCAGAGATTGGGGAGAAGGCCATGGGGGTCAGTGGGAAGGGAAATGGTGGCATTTGGACATTAATGGATGCCCTTTGCCTGGGGACCCTTACGTTCTGGCCTGCCTGAGTCCTCTGTCATCCATCCGACACCCCAGGATCTACCTCAGTGTGCCCACAGGCTGGGAGGAAGGAGGTCCCATCCCACCACTGCCTGGCAAACTGAGCCTTGTACTCCCAGCTGGCTGTGGGTCTTCTGGGCCCTTCCCTGGCCTTCTGTAGCCTTATCTGAGGCCGTCCGCTGTAACTTCCTCTCCTTTTTCATCTCCAGTGTGCCGCCTGCTCAGGTCTCCCCACTCTGTCCCTCTGTAGAACTATCCTCCACACCTTTTCTCTGTGGAGTGGACTTGCAGCCAGATGTCAGGCGGGGAGCAGAGATAAAGACCCTGTCATTCTGCCTTCCTCTGGGGTTGGTGAGCCCCATTCTGCCAGAACAGGCAGAATGAGTCTGGCTTAAAACTTTCTTTTAGATCTAAACATGGTAATTCTAACAAATGTCTTGAGAGGATTGTGACTAAGTCCATGCCATGGACTCCTACGTACACTTCAAAATGGTTCAAAATACACATTGTGTGTGATTTTTCTTCTGCCCCTACAAGAAATACTTTTGATTCATACGGTGCAGACCTGTGCTGTCAAAGGACCCTGTTTTCTCAGCCCAGCCTTCAGCTCTTGGCCTCATGAGGGAGAAAATTGGCTCTTTCCCTGCTCAGAGGGCACAGAGAGCCTTGGTGTCAGCCAAGCCCCAGCTCCAGATCTGGAGCCGTGAAGGACCGCAGCTTCTCCAGACACCACTAATAATAAGCCCACGTAGATACGCTTGGCTCGCCCCACACATCAGACAGACTTACCCACATGGGGCTCTGTGAGATGGCTCAGCACACTCTCCCACTTTTCAGAGATGGTTTTCATAGAAGTTTACTTGGAAAAATCTTTTGGAATGTAAATTGACAAAAACAACAACAACAACAACAACAACAACAAAAACAACAACAACAACAAAAACCCATCAGGGCAAGAAGGTGTACGCCTGCAATCCTAGCACTTGGGCAGAGGCAAGGGGGTCAGGAGTTCAAGGTTATGTTCAGCTACAAGAGCTGTCTTCGTTTGTTTGTTTGTGTTTGGGGGACAGTCTTTCTATGTAGTCCTGGAACTTGGATATGTAGAACAGGCTGGCCCCGAGCTCACAGAGATTCACCTGCCTTTGCTTCCTGAGTGCTAGGATTAAAGGTGTGCGCCATCCAGCCTGCCACCTGGGCTACATGTGACCCTGTCTCAAAACTACAGCAACAAAATCAAAATGACATAATAAGGAATCAATTGGAAAGGCTCCATTTCTGTCCCCTTATCATTCACTATTCTTTCTCAACAAATCTGTGTGTGTGTGTCTGTATGTGTGTATGTGTATGTGTGTGTGTCTGTGTATGTGTGTCTGTGTGTCTCTCTGTGTATGTGTATGTCTGTGTATTATGGGTTATATATGTGTCTGTGTGTGT